ACCACTCTGCTACCTAGAGCTTAGTCACCATCACCATGCACTGAAAGGTTTACATACGAACATACAGGCATGCCTCATTTTACTGGGCTTCGCTTTGCTGTGCTTAGCAAATATCGTGGGTTGCTTGCTTGTTGTAATCCAAGAGAGTGGCAACGCTACGTCAGGCAGGCCGATCAGTGCCATTTTTCCAACAGCTGTGCTCACTTCCTAAATCTCACAATATTACAGACCAGTCCGTAAGGTTATTAGACATTTCCTGGACTGTGGGATGGTAGAACCATAACTCCTGCATGCACTGGGAAGCCAAAAGACATGCATGTGACATGGACTTGATTGCAATATCCATTTCGCTGTAGTGGACCGGACCTGAACTTGCAGTGTCTCCAATGTATGCCTGTATACACCACGTTTACGTACATTAATTGCACTACCACAGTCAACATTTCATTTCATTGAATTTGGATTGTACTTTCAAAATTAATGAAAAACACATAGAAGACTTAAAGCAGTCAATATTCTTCTCTCAAACACACACTCAGGATTTTAGAAAAACCTAGCACTGTGGTCTTCCTACTATAATAGCAAGGTGGACGTCTCACTTCATGAAATGACAGATAAACACATCGTTAACGGTGCATGATTGAAAACACTAACATTATTGGTCACAGATAAGGAAATTATGTGAGTCCCTGATTATCTCTTAGCTCATCTTTCTCGACAACAGTCAGGTTCTTCTCTCTGCTTGCTTTTCTCTCCTTTAATCTCTGGTAAAAAGTATACAGCCCACACCCCAGAAAAAGTCCCCTTAAATTAGACCAGGGCTGTGAGGGACAAGTATTGTATCCAGCATCTTTCTGACTCATTAACATAGCCTTATTCTCATTAACATAACCTAATCTTGCCTTATTAACGCACTGTGGTAGTTATATGATTTCATGTCTGGTCTGTCAGTCAGGTCACAGCCTGATGATGCCTGCTTTGGGGCATGTCCTTCTCATGAGGATTCTAGGAACTTCCGCTCTCTCTCTGCATTCCGTTTCCTGTTGACAAGCTACCAGGAGACTTGCTGAGCCCTGCAAAAGCGCTCTCTCCTCATCACCTTCGTGTTGAAGAGCTCCACTCGGAAAGCTGGAGGACCCATGTGGAGACCCACGCCAGCACGGAGATGCTTCTACCGCCATTGGATCAACACAACTTTGCACCCACCAGCCTATGATCTTCTTACATTTTGCAACATTGCATGTGACTGTGTGAGTCTGCAGTATTTGGGGACTAATATTGGTCTGATCGGTTAATTTTGGATATATGGACATAATCTGGACTGGGCCAGGAGTTTTTCTTAATATACAACTACTCTTTTTGATATAAAGTTCTTTCTTATACATATGTGAGTGTCTCTGAATTTGTGTCTCTACTCAACCTGGCCTAACACACATACAGTGACCAGGACTGACAATGCATCACAAATTGAGGATAATATCATCATCATTTCATTACTGCTAAATTACACCATTACAAAACTGCTTTACTATATTATGCATTACTGCCAAATGCTATCACTAGAGATTCATGGCCTGAGATTAATGGCCTGGTCAAGCTGTCATACACTTTTGGAGGACAAAATTCAATCCACAACATAAATGAAACTTTACATACACAAAAGTACTGAAGCGACACTTACAGATACACTAAAACTAACTTAACATAATATGGTAATAATAATGTTTTGATGTGTGTTACAAAGTAGCACCCATTTGTTATTATGAACCACTGTTGGTACTTTGAATTTTTAACATAATAAGTATGGTACAGTGAATTGTGGCTCTTCTAGACATAGTCTGTGTGACTCCTATCAAATGATTAGGTGAGACCATGCAAATGGGGTGTATGGGCCTCTTATGTGGGAATTGGTAGTTTTGACATTTCAAACTGAGTTTAAAGTAAGCCATCTTTGAAGCAGGAATTGGGAATCTTGCGACCATCAAGAAAGAAGAAACAAGAATGGAGCACATCCTTTGCCCTATAATCATGAGTATAGTCTGTGAGTTCCGCGTGGCCATTGTAATAAATTATTGAAACTAGTAGAGAGTGCCATGGGAGGGATGGTTAAGGTCAGAAACAGGTAAAGAAGTTTGGTGGGTGGAAGCATGTCTGACCTCCGCCTTATACGACTGTGATGGTGATGCTCTTCCGCTCACCTTTGGAAGTCACAGGTCAGATGCCGCCCCCTCCACATTTCACAATAGGCTTTATAGGAGTTGGTATCATGGACAAACGCATAGGGGCTGATGTTGCCTGAATGGACATGATGTAGTGCATGACTGTAGCTATATGACATTAGAGTCAGCTATATTACATTAGAGACCCTTTGGGTCTCATTTTCCTCAATTTGAAAACAATGTTCTTTTTAAAAAAAATTCCTTTCCCAAGCTTGTACAACTTTCATTCCTCATTTTTCTGGTTTTTTGTCGATTGTGTACTAAGTTGTTGAATTTCTGGCTTTGACTAATCCTTTGCACCTACAAAAGATTATTTAAAGATATTCAACTCATGGAATGCTGCTATTTTTTTCTTGGGAAAAAGTTTAGAATTTCACTTTCTAATTTCTTCCTACTCCTGTAAAGAGTTAGTCTCAGTAACTCATAAGGCAGTTCTACCCTGTCCTGTAGGATCACTGTGAGTTGGAATTAACTTAATGGCAGTGAAATTGGTTTCTGGTTTGGGTATTGTCTTCTTGTAATAGCTATCCATAAAAGTGTCTCAATGTTTTCTGTGCATTTTTAAGTACCTTGGAAGTTCCTGAATTAGAGCAACACATAGCCCTATGGAAGGGGTGAAGCATTTGGGTGGTCTACCAACCTGTCAATCAGGTGACAGACTGATGATGCCTCCTTAGGGGTGTGCTTTCTTTTAAGAAGAAACTGGGAACCTCCCTCTCTCTCAGCCACTTCACCTTCCTGCCTGCTGGGACACTGCCTTCCTCTAGCAGAAAACCCAGGTGGGCCCCCTGACCCTAAGAGCTGTTGGCACCCTGTCATGTTCCTACTGACCTTGGATCCATGAGACTCTGCACCCATTTGCCTGTGATCTTCCTGTTTCCCAGGTCACCTTTTGGTGTCACCAGCCTCTAGATACATGAGTCTGCAGAGGGACTTATGGACTGGCACTGAGCACACGGATTTGAGTTGGACTGGGCTGGGATGCCTTCTTGATACGTAATGATTTTTCTTGATATAAAGCTCTTTCTTATACATAACTGGGTTTGTTTCTCTAGACAATCTGTCCTAATACATTATGTCTCCCTTTTCCCCCAGAAGCAGCAGCATTCAGGGAGGTCATTTCTGGTCTACAAAGTAGCCAGGGTTCTGATCTGCCATATCTCAACCTACTCTCACTATTTGCCCACTCACAGTGAGGTCCCGGCTGTCTAGACGAGTTTTAGAGAAGCCCTTCCACGACTAGGGCTCAGCTGCACTCTCTTTGTTCTTCATGTCCAAAATGTCACTGCCTGACTCAGCTCCTGCACCCTCCACGAGTTCTGCTGGTTTAGGACTTATTTCCCCACTCATTGAAGTTTTAGGACTCTGTTTCCTAACTATGATGGAGGCATGGGTCATGCATGTTTTTGTTTGCTCTCCTTGTTGATTGGTTAGGTACCTGTAGGGTGCAGGATATATGGGAAATTTTACATGTATACAGCTTCCAACATTCTCCTGACTTTTGACATGAAATTCCGGGACAGAAATCTATAACTGCATGATTCTGGCCCAACAATTTTGAGAGCACTGGGGTTCTCAAATGCATACGCTTTTTCTAGTTAAGAATGGTGATCTGAAATGCTCTTCAGTGTTTTATTAGAAATTAACAGATATTATCCCAACAAGCAAACTCAGTACTAGTTTCTCCAAAGATGGTACAAGAAGGTACGATATTTAATAATGAAAATATTGGGAACCACGCTGCTAGGCAAAGCAGAAATGATACATGTAGTCTCAAGAGAGAGATATATATAAACATGACTTTCCCTGAGAAAGCAAGTAAAATTTATGTAGTAACTATAGGCCATTCCAACCTTACTTTAAGAAACCACCACAGTTAAGTCCTATCAGTATGGATTTCCGGATCACAGATACCTTCTCATTCCCGAGTTAAATAAAACTTTTAAGAGAAAAATGCACTTATTATTATTAATCAACCTGTAAAAATCACATGCTAGTTAATTTGTGCTGTAAACAACCCCAGTGGCACTATAGGCTAAGCATAGGGCTGCTAACCACAAGGTGTATGATTCCAACCCACCAGCCGCTCGATGGGGGAAAGATGAGATAGTCCGCTCCCATAGGGTTTATAATCTCAGAAACTCTAAGGAGCAATTCTACTTTGTCCTACAGGTCACATGCGCTGGAAGCAACTTGATGGCAGTGGGTTTGGTTTTGATAAACTTAAATCTATTTCTTATATACATCCTGGATGGGAAAATTTTTCTTAAGTCCTTTCTTATATAGATACATTCCTTAATATAACCTAATACATTACCATCTTTTAAGATAGTTACTTTTTAATTTTATGATATAAATGATCATTTTAATGGCTCAGATATTATACCTATGAGCACACCATACTCACTAAAAGAACAAAGATTAATCTTACAGACTCTATTATTCTAAAATGTAGGATTTTAAAGTGCCAGGTTCACTCTTTTAAACTCTACACCAACTTTCCACTGCCAACATGCTTCATATGTATATGTTGTTCAAAGTGAAGGGAAAAGTTGTTCCTTTTCATGTATATATATTTTAATCAATCGATTTAATATTTTTTAAGATACCTGACATGCTCTTCCCCAAAGCTCATTTCCCTCTGGTCCTACTTAACCATGCTGGGAATATTAACTTCAGCTGAAGATAAAAGATGCTTCAAGCATACTAGACAAAAACCATTCAATAGTCCAATGTTTCATTACTTCAGTGTGGTTAGTTACACATCCCAAGACTCCTTACCTCAGACTCATCAGTAGACTCTTCAAGCGACCTGGTTTCCTACAAAGCAGAGTTGGAACATGGTCAAAACCATTGACAAAAGAATAAAAACCAAGTCCCCGCCACTAATATGCACCTTCCCTTTTCTGAAGGAACTAGACTTGAAAGGACTCCATGGGCTTCAGCTCTCCCGAGTCCCTCTTGATGGGACCAGGGAGACTCTGGGTCACAGGGGTCCACTGTTCCTGTGAACCTCCTTTCAAGCACACAGCAGATACACAAATCACCCCAAGAACTTGACTTGTCTGAATATGTGGAAGGCACTTTCCCTCACTGATAATGGGGATCAGTCGTGCAAAGCAGTATCGCTGGTCTTGGAAGGAAAGGAAACATTGCAGTCTCCAATTATCTATAAGCCCATTTTTGAACCAAAAACCTAGCGTGCTATTTACGATTACACTATTAGTCTAGTTGGATCAAAAGAACAGCTTCACTTAAACAGCTTTAAGGAAAAATGAATTGCCCAACAGTGGTACTTATCAGCCACTGTGCAAACAAGCTGTATAATTTACATCCGCTTGCTAACCCATTAACCTTAAGACAAATTCTGCCATTGAACACGGTTTTCCTCTTGCTAGACAATGAATCTTGCTGCTTTGGAGGAAACAAAGCAAAAAGGGGAAAAATTGACTTGATCCTGCTAATCTCTCACCTGTCCACTGCAAGAGAGAATCTGCTGATGCTGTGTGGACTCAAAGAGGTCAGCAAAATGAAGATTTACTTAACGTGCTTGTTTATAGATATCAATAGCAATAAAAGGGTACAACTAATATGCTGACACTGAATTTAAGCATTTTACAACTCACGAGATAAAGCAAAAAAAACAAACAAAAAAGGTGGGTGGATGGCAAGGGCACTGTTGATAGAACTAATATTTTTTACAATGGTGGGGAGATGGGGCGTGAGCACATTTTAAAGAAAGGCAGATGAACATACTGACTCAATGCAACTTTTGTGTCAAGATGAACACAAATCTAGTGTTTCACAATATTTGTGCTTCATTCAAGTTGGTTGATTCTGTGGGGCAGACATCGTTCAAAACACAGCCAGTTGGGCAATGTGGTCCCTGCCCTCAAAGGTCTGTAAAACGGAGATAACACAACTTGTAATTAAGAATGCCATTGGCTATAATACTAACTGTGATGGATACTAGACTATCTACTTCCCAAGATAGCCTGTGGCATTTAATGCCAGTGTAATTCTTACAAAGATTTTATTAATTGGACACTACAATTGCTCCCCATTAGCTTTTTGTCCTTAGCACACCACTGAACCAAAACAAATCCCCAACCCACTGCCACTGAGGAGACCCCTACTCACAGTGACCGTACAGACTCACACTCAAACTCACAGTGACCGTACAGACTCACACTCAAACTCACAGTGACCGTACAGACTCAAACCCAAACTCACAGTGACCGTACAGGCCCACACCCAAACTCACAGTGACCGTACAGACCCACATGCAAACTCACAGTGACCGTACAGGCCCACACCCAAACTCCCAGTGACTGCACAGACCCACATCCAAACTCACAGTGACCGTACAGGCCCACATCCAAACTCACAGTGACTGCACAGACCCACATCCAAACTCACA